GGGCCCTCCCTCTGTAATGCCATTCAGCAGCATTGAGAGGCACTGATTAAGCTCCAGAGCTCCACACCCATGCTGTACTAAGAGCCCTAGTCTTTCTTTTTCTCTTTTGTTTTGTTTTTTTCGTTTTTATTTTTTGAGAGACAGGGTCTCCCTGTAGCCCTAGTTGGCCTGGAACTCACTATAGAGACCAGGCTGGCCTTGACCTCACAGAGACCCGCTTGCTTCTGCCTCCTGAGTGCAGGAACCAAAGGTATGTGTCACTGTGCCTGGCTGACACAATGTCTTTTTTTTGAGGGGGGGGGGTCTTTTTGAGATAGGGTCTCCCTGTTGCCCCAGCTGGTCTAGAATTTGCTATGTAGACCAGGCTGGCCTTGAACTCACAGAGTTCTCCCTGCCTCTGCCTCCTCAGTGCTGGGACTAAAAGCTTGTGCCACTACACTTGGCTATAATGTCTTTTTTTTTTTTTTTTTTTTTTTTATAAATGTGGGTTTCAGGGATAAAACTCAGCTCTTCATGTTTACAAGGTAAGCACTTTACTGGCTGAGCCATGTTCCCAGGCCTAATGACTTGTTTTTGACCTTCTAAATAAAACTCTTATAGGTGTTGTACTGTGTAACTTCCGAGGCTGGTTCACAGATGGCTTGCAGATTCCACCTGAGCCTCTCAATGACTGAAAGAAGCTAATACAAGACTTCCACTTGCCCTGAGACCAGCGAGGCCTGATGGGGTCCAGTGAGTAGGTCAGTGGAGAGAGCTGCCTGCCCAGCCCCCACCCCATAGGAGAGGCCTTCAGAAGAGCCAGTCCCTGCTACCATCTCGATGGTTCCCAAATCTCTGGCTGGGCCCAGTCAACCCAGAATCATGAACAATAAGAAGCTGCCATTTTAGTCCAATGAAATATGGAGAACAGTGTTAGACAAGTAGAGTCATAGGTATTCTCAGGCCTCCACTGTCCAGGTGGGAAAGATAAGCAGTAACTGACATGTAAAGACAGCAGGCTGAGGGTGCAATGTGCAGAAAGCTGGAGTGATACAAGACAACAGACAATTGGGTACCAAGTTTGAGGTCTAACTGCCAATCTCCAGGCAGTGCAAGGAGAGAGAAATCACAGGCCAGCATCTGTGAGAAGCAAGCTTGTTGGAAACAGCAGATCCTGTCCCAATCACTGGCCGAGGCATCTCTTTCCTCCTGACACTTCACACAGTTCAGTGGTGCCCCTGGCCCTTAGCAGCCCCGGGAGGCAGGTGGGTGGGTTGTTGCTCTCCTCTTCTCTGTACAGTGTTGGGAACTGAGTCTACAGCTCCAGGCCTGTATGCAGGGCTGGGGCCGGGGAGAGGTAAGTTAGTACCCAGCACATCTCTTTGGTTACATCCTAGTCTCATCCCTGCTGGTGGAAAAATTTGTAAAAATAATCAAATCTGTGTGATATGGTCAGCAAACTGCTAACCTTGGATGATGAGCGAAGTTTTCATGGGAAGAAGAAATGCTCTTTTATCTATTTATTTTTTAGGATGGCGTCCCCTTGACTAGCCCAGTGTCACTTACCCAATAATGTGAATGTCTTTTGAGTCTCCAGCATGTCAGCTCTGTCATTGACACCTTCAATGGTAGTGCTGCCTCCCATTCTTGTGTAGTTGAACTCTTCTGCACTCCCTGGAAAAGAGAACGATTACTTCTGCCCATAACTCAGAAGTCTGGACATACCTGGTTATCAGAAATAAGAAGAGAAACCCGGCACAGTGATTCTCCCCTGCATCCCAGCACTAGGGAGACTGAGACAGAAAGATTACAAATTCAGTGCTAGCCTGGGCTACATAACAAAACCCTGCCAAAAAAAAGGAAGGAAGAAAGAAAGAGAAAGGAAGAAAGAAAGAAAGAAAGAAAGAAAAAAAAGGAGGGAGGGAGGAAAAAAGGGAGGAAGGAAGAAGGGGTGAGAGGAGAGGAGAGAGGCATAGAAGGGAGGGAGGAAGAGGAGAGGAAGGGAGGGAAGGGAAACAAGAAGGGAAATTCTTATTTAATGAGCTCTATCAAATACTTCACAAGGGTATTATAGAAATTAAAGCTGAGACTCAGGATAAGTGAAAGCCTTGTTCAGAGTCCCACAGCTGACCGTGAGCAGGGGTTCAAATACAGGCCTAGCTTCCTTAGAAAGCATTTGGCATTCTAGGTTTGCCTCCTCCTCCTCTTCTTCTCCCCGTCCTCTTCTTTGACAGGGTCTCATGTATCCCAGGCTGACTGAAGATGACTTTGAACTCTGTTCTTCATGCCTTCACCTCTCCAGTGCTGGGATTATAGGTGTGCCTTGTGCATTCTAGGCAAGTGCTCTGGCAACTGAGCTACATCTCCAGGCCTTTCGTGTAACATTTTTACACAGCCTTATTGAACATCCATTAAACTGCATATATCTGAGATGTATAATCTGATGAGTTTTGTCATACACACATTTATCTATTTATTTTATTTGTGTGTATGTGGGTACACATGTGGAGATCGGAGGACAACTTTGGGGAGTCAGTTCTCTCCTACCTGCAGGTTTTGTGTCCCCAAGCACCCTTACTCACTGAGCCATCTCACCAGCCCCAACATACATTAACTCTTATAAACCAATCACTAAAATCAAGATAATGGCAACTACACATCTAATATTTAAATAGAGGACCATCCAGAAAGTCTTCCTGTGTGTTTACTCTTCAAGCTCTGTTGGCATATTGGGCAAAGCACAGGGTCATCTTCATGTGAAATCTGTAGAACCTTACATTTCCAAATTAGAGAGTGTGAGTTCAACTCTAACACACGAACTCCAATACACTAGAAAGTCAACTCTGACAAGTCTGATTGGTCGCCACGGCTCAAAAGACCTGGATGGAGAGCAGAGTCAGCAGAGGGCTTTGGCTCTACACCTCAGCTCTCCCTGTGTAATTACTACTACAAATAACGAATGACCCTGCATCACCAAGAAGTTCAACTGAGGCAGGGGACTGTTTAGGAAGACAGGACAGTCACACATGTTAGAGAAACAAAAATATAAGGAGTATTCAGACAAAAATGAAAGTGTAGGGCCTTAGTGTGGTAAATTCTAGTTGTGTGAGGGTGGGGAGGGGGTCCTTATTCAGGTGGTTCTGGTTTAATGGGCACAACCTGCCAAGAACCTAGGAGAATGTTCCACCTTGACTCAGCCCGACCCCAGCTCTAATCAATTCCTTCCTTCTTTTCTTTTTCTCTTTCTGTTTTTGACTACCCTCTAGCTCCCTATGTATAGCTAAAACTGTTCTTTTAATTTATTTTTTAATTTTTTGTGTGTATTTTATACAGAACATCTCAAACAATCTTAATCATCTTTATATCCCCATGCCCACTGGCATCCTCCCATAGCACCCCCCCACACACACACTGGAGCCCATATACTTTGTCATCCCTGTAACTGCCCACTTTGTTGTCAGTACCCCCAGCTCTTCCCCAGTGCAAGTCCATCAACTGAGTCTAGTGCCTACGTAGAGTCTCTTGTTTTAGGAAGATCAGCTCTTCTTCATCTAGCAGCAATTAGTTGCCAATATTCCTTCAGATAAGATTGGGGTCTGCTGTTCATTATCCCAGTTCTATGCTGGATTATTGACTAAGACTGATCTTGAACTTCTGATCCTTCTGCCTCCATCTCACCAGTGCTGGGATTATAGGTAGATACCATCACGCGTGGTTTTGCAGTGCTGGGGATTAAACCCAGGACTTAATGCATGCTAGGCAGGTATTCTATACCTCCAGCCCTTTCTTTTCTTTTTTTTCTTCACTTTATTTTATTTTGAGACAGGGTTTCAAAAAACCAGGGTTATGTCATTCTGGCTGGCCTAGAACTCACTATAATATATATAGAACAACCTAGCCTTGGATTTGTGGTGATCCTCCTACCTCTGCCACCCGAGTGTTGAGATGATCCATGTATGCTGCCACACCTGGCCCAACTGATTATCTTCTTTAAAAAATGTGTATGAATGTTTTGCCTGAATGTATGTAAGCGCACCACCTGTGTGTGACTCCTGAGGAAACCAGAAGTGGGCACCAAATTCCCTGGAACTGGAGTTACAAATGATTGTTAGCCACCATGTGGGTGCTGGGAATGGAACCCTGGTCTTCTGCAAGAGCAGCCAGTGCTCTTAGTGGCTGAGCATCTCTCCAGCTCCCCAACTGATTATCTTAATGCATTAATTTTAGCTCTGAAACACATCCTATATTTTTAGAAAGTTGTGCCATAATAAAGAAACTAAGAACTTAAACGCCTCCAGAAAAGAAACCCTTTTAGATAGCATCCATCACATACCCAGTTTAAGATGTTTAAATTCCGACTGCTGAGCAGATGCACAAAGCTGATAAAAGATGTGGTAATTCCGTTCATTTTCTGACTGCAAAGGAAAGAAAAGGCCCCCCCAAGTTACAGTAGCCCTTTATAAAGAAAAATGCCAGTTTCAACTACAGACCCCTAGATACTGATCTGGATGGTGACTCCCTAGGGATGGCACTGATGTCTATGCCCAGTACACAGTGGGCTGTCTTCTCTAACCAGGAAGCAGGGGGGTAGGGGGCTGGAGATGATCTTCCAAGTAGAAGTCTCTGGAAATGGTCATTATATGAAAACATTCTGTGGAAGGAATGGTACAAAGTCCAGAGACTCCCTGTAGTACTACTCAAGTCTTCTTATCACCCTGGCCAACATGGTGAGGAGCTTCTCCATTTTACTCACAGAAAAGCAGTTCTCCTGACACCACCCTCTCACCAGCGCTAATCCCCTCTTATGGACAGGTAAGCCAGGCTGGCAGCTTTGCCTGCTTCAGTGTGTATGTCCTCAAAAGATACACTTGGTTTTTAAACTACAGGGATCCCTGCCCCTAAAAAAGTGGCAACTTTTACCTTCAATGTATCCATCTATGCATCTATCCATCAACTTTTGTTTTTAATAAGCATAAACAGTAAAACAAACAATAGCAAACAAAAGGCAGGAAAACTTGGTTCTTCAAGATCCTTGACCCCTGCAGGTTTTTTGAGTTTATTCACACAAACAGCATTTAAGTCCAGGAACAAGGGGACCAAAGAGATGGCTCAGAGGTTAAGAGTACTGGCTGCTCTTACAGAAGATCCTGAGGTTCAAATCCCAGCACCCACATGTTGGCTAACAACCATCTGTAACTCTGGTTTCAGGGGATCTGAGAGCCCTCTTCTGTCCTCCACAGGCACTGCATGACACGGTGCACTTACACACATGCAGGCAATACACTCATACACATAAAATAAAAAAGAAATTAAAAAAAAAACCAAAAACTGGGAACAAGCGCTCTTGATGCTTTTATCCTTACCTGAAAGACAACTCTGGATTTCTCCAGGAGGTAGGTTCGCATGTTGGCACCTATGATCTGATTTCTCTCATCAAAGCTGATTTCTGTGTATTTCCCAAATCGACTGCTATTGTCATTACGGGTTGTCTTGGCGTTTCCAACAGCCTAGAACACACAGGGCTCAGAATCACAGGAGCAGCATTTAGTAACACCCATCCTGCATGCTGGGGCAGGTCTGGCTAGTGGGGAAGCCTAGGGCTAGAGAAGGGCATCTTGAGGCATATGGAGCGTGGGGCAGCACCCTTGTGGCTCTCCCAAGGACTCTGGGTTTCATGGCCCTGGGGTCCATTTCTGCTCTCTCTGTAATGTTATAAAAGTTATTTCACATTCCATGTCTCACTTCTTCTACCTGCAATGTTTATTGATTCATTTTATTTATTTATTTTCTTGAGACACGGTCTCACTATGTGGCCCTGGCTGGCCTCAAACTCACAGAAACTGCCTGCCTTTGGCCCAAAAGTGCTGGAGTTGAAGGTGTGTGCCACCATACCTGGCTTTGTTTGCTTGGTTGGTTGGTTCTTCTGTTTGTTTGAGACAAGGTCTCACTATGCAGCCCTGGCTATCTCCCTGAAATGTGGAAATGTTTCTTGCTATTGTAAATGATGTTCTCCCACATCCACGTGATCTTTCTTTAATTATATTCTTACTTATTTTGTGTGTATATGATGGGATGTTTGTGCAACAGGATGAGTACAGAGGTCAGAGGACAACTTGTGGGATTTGGTTCTCTCCTTCCACCTTGTGGGTTGTACGGGTTGAACTCAGTCCTCAGGCTTGGTGGCAAGTGATTTTTCCCACTAAATCATCTCAATGGCCCAAACATCCGTGTGTTGAAATCCTCACACACTGTGTGCTGGTATCAGGAAATGGGACTTGTGGGAAGGCACAGGGTAGAGCCCTTGTGGATGGGATTTCATGCCCATATAAGAGACTCCACAGCAGAGATCTCTCCTGTTCTCTTTCTCAGCCACGTGAGGACATGCAGAAGATGCATCTACAAGGCAAGGAGAGCCTTCACAGAGCCCTGTCATGCCGCACCCTCCTCTGGACCTCTGCTGTTCATAACCCCCAGAGGATGGCACTTTGTTACAGCACCTAAACAGACTAAGAGTTGAGAGGAGCAAAGGAAGTACTATAAAGTGCTGGGGCTGGAGAGATGGCTCAGTGGTTAAGAGCACTGGCTGCTCTTGCAGAGGACCTGGGTTCGGTTCCCACTTTGGATAGCTCACAACTGCCCGTGACACCAGTTCCAGGGAATCCAACACCTTCTTCTGGCCTCCAAGGGTACCTGCATGCATGTGGTGCACTTACAGACAAGCTAGTACATACATATACACATAAATAAAAATTAAAAAGAAACCTCCTTCTCCTCCTCCTCTTCCTCTTCCTTCTCACTGCCCCTCTTTTATCTCCTCCTCCTTTCACCTTCTCTTCTTCCTCTTCCTCCTTTCTTCTTCCTCCCCCCGCCTTCCTCTTTCTTCTTCTTTTTTTTTAAAGGCAGATTTTTACTATATAGCACAGGCTGGCCTCAAAGTGTTCCTGCCTCAGTCTTCCACGTGCTGGGATTACAGGTGAACATCAGCATACCTGGCTTAGGAGGATCCTTCCTGCATACATACACTGCATTTCCTGCCCAGGTCATTGTGATTTCTGTTGGCATAGATCTGCTTTCTACCTACTATGGGCTACAAGCTTGGCCAGCAAGAATGAACCAAACTGATGCGGTGCCTTCATGGAGCTTATAGTTTGGTGCAGAGACAAACCTTAAACAGCCACAGAATTATTGACTGTAGGCTGCATGCCATTTCGCCTTGTTCACTTTGCTGTTTTTATTTTGGATGATGATCGATGTTTCCATGCAGCCAGCCTGTGCCTCTGGCTGTCAATGTCACGTTTGTTCAGTTCCCTCTCCCTTTGGTGTGGCTATTTCATTTTAAAAGCTTCTGTGAGCACTGAGTCCTAATCTCAGAGGCTGAGTCTCTTACTTTTTTCATTTTGTTGCATACTGCTCCACACAGTAGCTTAAAGCAAGGAGTCTGGTGCAAAGTCCCTAAAGGTTCTGATCCTGGAGACAAGGAAGAGGATTCTAGGGGTGACAGGCCACACTGCCAAGCCAGTTCTCAGCCACCTTCTTCTCATTTTGCCAGTCAGCCAGTGTTGGCCTTTGGCTCCCTGTGTGTTCTGGGTTCCCCTTTTTCCATGGAGGTTTCCTGTTCACCCCAGAGTGCTGTGTGGTAGCCCCGCCCCACTATGGAAAGGAAGAAGAGCCCAGAGTGCAGCACCTGCCCTCATGTAAGCTGTACTCTTACCACAACTGACTCTAGACCACCAAAGCTCAAACAGTCAGCTCACAGAACTTGAGTGAGCAACAACCGGCTTGTGAGAGCGGGTGCCAGCTGGAGCCATCTCTGTGTGGTCGGGGAGATCCCTGGATGTCAGTACCTCACATGGGTTCTCTGATGACAGACTCTCCAGCACACCAGGTGGGAAGAACCTTGGGGCTGCTATCTCTGCCACAGAACCTGCTTCCCAGCTCTCCCTACACTCACTCCTTTGGTCTTTAAGGTAGGAACCAACCTACATCAGCAAGCACAATTCACACACAGAGCAACCCCTATCTCCCTCCCTGCCCCCAGCATGGCCTCCGGCCCTCTACAGCCTCCTTCTCCCACAGTGCCCACCTCAGTTATGGGGTTGGACGCCAGGACTTTGTCCTCCACGTGGGCGTTGCTGCTGGACTTGCTGACGGTGGCAAAGTACCTCATGGCGTAGCGGGCAGAAACAGTCTTTCCAGCTCCCGACTCCCCACTTACAATGATGGACTGATTTCTATTGTTCCTAAAGCAAAAACATGAGAGAACTGTGAAATGCTAATTTCTTTCCATTAAAAAAGTTGTATAACCTGGATGTGGTGGCACACACCCTTAATCTCAGCACTCAGCAGGCAGAGGCAGGAGGATCTCTATGAGACAGAGGACAGCCTGATCTACATAGTGAGCTCCAGGTTAGCTGGGGCTATAGAGAGATGCTGTCTCAAAAAAAAAAAAAAAATTAACAAGCAAATAGTTTGAGGCCAGCCTGAGCAATGTAACATATCTACCTCTTAAAAAGAAAAGGTTTAGCTGAGTGTGGTGGTGCCTTTAATTCCTGCACTCCAGAGGCAGAGGCAGGTGGATCTCTGTGAGTTCGAGGTCAGTCCAGTTTCCATAGTGAATCCAGGCCAGCTGTGGCTACAGGGAGACCCTGTCTCAAAAAGAGCTGCCCCCCAAAAAGGTTTAGGGGTTGGTGATGTAGCTCGGGGGTACAACTCTTGCCTAGCATGCACGAAGCCCTGGGTTTGATCCTCAGCATCTCATAAACTGGGCATGGTGGTACCTTGGGAAGGTGGAAGCAGGAGGATTAGAAGTTTAAGTTCATCCTCAGCTATACAGGGAGTTGGAGGCCAACCTGAGCTACATGAGACCTTGTTTTAAAAACAAAACAAAACAAAACAAAAAAAAGGCAACATATATCCATTAAGAAAAATGCTGACAAGTTAAAAGATGGGGAGCTAAATACTCAGTGAACCTCCTAGTCTTTTCTTTTTAATATGTGATCATACAGAATGCACGCTTTGGTTTCCCGCTATGTCCTTTGTTTCTTTGTGTTGAGGTTCCCAAGACCAAAACCAAGGTCAGTCAGTGATCCATGGGGTGTATGCAGCAGCACACCAAACTCGTGGTTAAGACTGATCACATCAAAGGATTCAGAACAAAATCAGGCAAGGGAGAAGGCAACAGGACAAAGCCAGAGGACACCAAGTACAGACTTCCAAGGGTCTTTCCCCAGGCTAGTCACAATGGCCATATTCCTGCCTCAGTATGGATTTCTTGACCTGTGTGGATTTTACTTGGGAATTTACATATCAGCATCTTAGTGTCTTCCACTTGGCAGAGGACTGAGAATTCAGTCTCCCAGAAGGAAAGTAGGTGCTTAGCATCACACATACTGCTTATACAGAATTTATGTACAGTGAGCCATAGTCATAGGAGATAAAGGGATTGTCCTGAAATCAGGGGCCTGACTTGGACCAGCCTTGCAAACAAGCCTCTAAGGACAGCTGCCTGAGGCCCCATCAGCAACTTCTACATATCCCACTGACATTATTTCGAGAGCAACGATTTAAAATATATTTGGAGACATATGTGTTCTATAAATCTACACACTGTTATATAATTTAGAGATTAAAGAAAACATGCATTAAAATGCCTTAAGCTTTTCATGACACAGGACTATGACAATGCTGCCCTGGGTATTGGCAATGTTTACATGGCAGATGCAGGGTGAACACTTAATATTCTCAGAATGAGTCACAAAAGTCCTATGATATTTTTATATATTTTACAGTTAGGTAAAACAGGGACTCAGATGTAAACTGACTTGACCTGAGGCACAGCACACAACCTCCTGTGGTGACCCTGGAGGGAACCTTCCACACAGAGCTCCTGGTCCAATCCTTTCATTTCAAAAAGAAGAAAGGATGACCCTGGAAAGGTGGGGGACTTGTGTCTCTCAAGAAGGGCAGACAACCCTGTCTAGCACCAAACCATCCACCATGAACCAGCCTCATGTTCAGTTCTGTTATTCCAATGATACAGATTGGAGCTGGTACTTAGTACGGTCTTAGAGCTCCATTGAGATCATACTGTTGATGACTAGACTCTAATCACAGAGGTTCCTGGGAGACCTTCAGCAGAAAAGTCCAGAAAGTCCCAGAACCAAGAGAGCTATGGTTGGAAGCAATCTTGAGACAGCAAACACTGCTAATCTCTACCCAACATCCATCTTCCCTCCATTCTTGGGAGCACGTCCCAGTTGTTAGGTGATGAACTGCTGCCCAAGAGAGGTGTTCCAGTCTCATTTGATCATGTGGTTATGCTCTGTGAACAGTGATACTCTGCGGGGATACTCTTGAGGATGACCCTTCCCTGATCCCTGTGACTTAGACTATGGAGGAGACAGCCAGGCACTCATTTGGTCCTGTGGATGAGGGTTTCACTCCAGAACAAAGAAGCTGAACATCATTCAGTCTCTGACGACTTGAAAGAGGTTCAGCTTAGTCTCAGACAGTCCATCAGGTTTTCCTGTGGGAGAGAACCACGCCTTGTTTATATGTCCACAAAACGAGGAATGGGCACTCTGAGAGTCTAGCTAACAGGTGAGGACCGATGGTCAGGACTATGCAGGACACAGCAGTTGCCAGAGCCTGTGCCTCAGTTTCTCATCTGCAAAGTGGGGATGATGATGGTTGTACAATGGACTTCGAAAAACCCAAAGGTGACCACTATGTGTGAAGACCCTTTTGCAAACTGTAAAGTGATCTACAAAGTTAGGATGGTGTTTTCATTCTCAAATATCCTACAGACAAGGACAATGGAGCCAAACGAGAACAGTTATGGGAAAAATAAATTATACTTACAGTCAAAAAATATGAGCTCAAACACCAACTCTGCCTTCTGCTCACTGTCTACTCTGGGTGGATGACTCTCTGAAGGTCATACTACTGGCCAGGCACAGATGTCATGAGCTTTCCTGAGGGTAACCAAGGTAATGCTAGGAATGTGAACCTGGTGCCTTCTTTAAAGGAGGCTTCTGTAAACATTCAATAGCAAATTCAGAATTCTGAGGGTCATGCCAAGACAAAGTGAGGAAATTAGTATAGAATCCAAACCAGCAGCTAGAACCTGTGCTTATCTGGCAATAGATTCTGTCTCATTGAATGGGTAAAAATAACCCAAAACACCCAGACTATAAACATCTCACAGTGGAGAATCAGTCAGTCCTCCTCCAGCCAAACACATTGCAGGAAAAACACAGATGGAAGGCCTGACTTGTGACTACCTAGAAACAAATCCAGAAAGTCTGTCTATATGGGTCAGCTGTGACAGTCACCCACTGTTCATTATAGGGAACCTATTTCCCCCACTCCTTCCCACCTCACCATTCTTTTTAGTAAGCTCAACCCGGACAGCTCCCTTCACTGTGAGAGCAGAGCAAACCCAGAGAGTGCTAGGAAACTGGAGGAAGGCCTGCATGGCAGGAAGGTACCTGGCCATCTGCTTGTAGGCCTCCTCTGCAACTGCAAAGATGTGTGGGTCCATGTCACCCATGTTCTGCCCACTGTAGGCATGGATGATGGCATCTCCATATATTGGCAGCTGCTTATAAGGATTCATGGCCACCAAGATGATTCCTGAGGAAAGGGATGAAGTGTAGTTACCAGAGTCTCACAAGCTTACCCATCTGTACCTCAGCAGTCTTCCCTTGTTCTTGTGGGAGATTCTCCCCACATTCCCTTGTTCTTGTGGGAGATTCTCCCCACTTACCCTTGTTCTTGTGGGAGATTGTCCCCACATACCCTTGTTCTTGTGGGAGATTCTCCCCACATAACCTTGTTCTTGTGGGAGATTCTCCCCACTTACCCTTGTTCTTGTGGGAGATTGTCCCCACATACCCTTGTTCTTGTGGGAGTTTCTCCCCACATAACCTTGTTCTTGTGGGAGATTGTCCCCACTTACCCTTGTTCTTGTGGGAGATTGTCCCCACATACCCTTGTTCTTGTGGGAGATTCTCCCCACATAACCTTGTTCTTGTGGGAGATTCTCCCCACTTACCCTTGTTCTTGTGGGAGATTCTCCCCACATAACCTTGATCTTGTGGGCGATTCTCCCCACATACCCTTGTTATTGTGGAGGATTCTCCCTACATACACACTTCTTTTATGACAAACTCTTGATGCTTACAAAAACAAGCTAGGATAGCAGGCCTTAGGAAGTGCCCTTCCTCACCCACTACTGTCCCCTAGAAGTCAGTGGGTTGGAAACTTAACACCCCACACCCCCATTCATTTGTTAATGACATCTAGAGATGGGTCTTTGGGGGAATAATTAGGATTAGATGAGGTTCTGGTGGTGGGCCCCCCCACAATGGCTTCAGTGGAAAACAGACTGGAGCCCTTGCTCTTTCTCACATCAGGATGCCCAAGGAGGGCCTCACCAGATGCTGACATCATGCTCTTAAGGCTTCTGAGCCTCCACAGCCATGAGCCAAATAAACTTGTATTCTTTATAAGTTACCCAGGCTCAGGCATTCTGTTATAGCAACAGAAAACAGACAAAGATGCCTATCCCTCCAGGTTCCTTTGAGAAGTCCCAGCTCTCCCCCTTACTAATACCTTGACTTAACTTGGGTCAGGTCACAATGCTCTGATTCTCAGTTCCCTGTCAATCACCTTCATCTCTGGGCTGTTCTAATGGCTAAATGAGATGACAGATAGGGGAATGCCCCCAAATTGTGTTTTTCAATTCCCAGTGTAAATGCAATTATAATCACAACATTGCCCTAAGAAGTAATAAATATGTAGGATCTGGTAAGAAACTCAAACACAAGACCGTCACATCTGCTTTCTTCATAGGCAACCTCCATCCTGTGGGAGATTCTCCCCACACAGATTCTTCTTTTTACCACATGCCTTGATACTCATAAACATGACACCAAGCATGCATGCTAGGGACACCCAGACAGCTGGCCTTCCTCATGTCTTACCACTGTAGGTGTAGATGAGTTTGGACTCTGCAAAGCGGATTCTGAGGTTGTGTAGCACTGCAGGCTCATGGAGGTAGCTGAGGGCTGTGAGGTCATTCTCACCCACGAGAATGTCCGGGTTCCGAAGAGGAGGCAGTGACCTTGGGTCAACAGGATAATCCATCTCCTACAAATGATGATAGAACTGAACTAGAAATGGATGACTTTTGTGTTTCTACTGAACTATGTCCTTTCTCCTATCCACCTCCCACTGAGGCATCACACCCAGTAAAAAAGGAAGCAAGGAAGGAAAGAAACAAGAACCCACAACTTTAAAAAATTTTATTTATTATTTTTATTTTATGTGTATGAGTGTATTGCCTCCATCTGTGTAAGTGCACCCATGTTGTGCAATGCCCACAGAGGTCAGAAGAGGGCATTGGATCCCCTGGAACTGGAGTCACAGATGGTTGTTGTCTGCCATGTGGGTGCAGAGAATCAAACCTGGGTCCTCTGCAAGTGCAGTCAGTGCTATTAACCACTGAGTCATGTCTACAGCCCCCCCCAACTTTTTATTTTATTTATTTATTTAATTTTATTTTATGTGTATGAATGTATTGCCTGCATGTGTGTAAGTGTGCCATGTGAGCAGTACTTGCAGCAGCCAGAAGAAGGCATCAGATACCCTGGAACTGGAGTCTATGGAACCATCTCTCCAGCCCAGCCCAGCCCAGTCCAGCTTTATTCATTCATTTATTTATTTATTTATTTATTTATTTATTTATTTATTTATTTATTTATTTTTGAGACAGGGTCTCACTATGAAGCCAAAACTGACCTCAAACTCTCCATCTTCCTGCCTCAGCCTCCTCAGTGCTGGGATTACAGGTGAGTGCCACCACACCTGTCTTAGAAACTTTTAAGTACAGAAAAAAGGAGGTAATCTTTATAGGTAACTCTGGGAGTAATGAAAACTGGGAGCCAGGAACCAGAACACTGGCTGTGTGTCCTGGAGCAAGCAACTCTCCCTCTCTGGACCTCACTTGTCTCATCTGTGAAGGGGTCCTCAGAGCTGAAGAGGTCTCGATGGGGGGTGACAAGAAACCCATGGGCAGGGATCCAGGAGCCCCACCCCAAGTCTACCGCGGGGGTTCCACTTATATGGTTCCAGCTTTAATGCTGGGACCATTGAAGTGTTTACTTGGAAAGAGATGCTGTTGCTAAATTGACCTGGCTTAAGGTCCTTGATGACTCTAAAGCTGCCGAATCTCTCCTCAGTTGACACGCTTGGGGCCGAGAAGCATCTAAAGAAGCCCTTGTTGGGGGCGGTCTGTGCCAGGGCTGTGCCTACATCCTCAGTCATGTGATTTCCCCAGTCTAGCTCTTCTTTCCCTGCTAAACCTCATATTCCTAAGTAGCTGCTGAGCAGAAAAAAAGTGAGGTCAACGTCCCTTGTGGCATCCAGGCCTCAGGAGAATGCAACCCCATCATAACAGTGTTCCAACATCTCCACTAACAACTAGGGGAAGCACAACCCAGGGAGGAAAAGGTGAGGGGGTTGCCCAGCCAGCCTGTCTACCTTCTCTTTCCCATGCTACCTACCCTGGTTCAGTTGGTAAGACTGGTCACCTCTTGACCCCTGGCCATGGACCAGCTACCCCTGCTAAGTGCTAAGCTCTCAACCCTGAATGTTCCATATACTCCTCAAAGCTGTCTTCAGAGGAAGCTGTGACTTCCCAGGTGAACAGTGACTGACACAGGACAAGAAGACATGGCACACTGTCTCTACACCCACAGGGTTTGGGCAGCTGGTGGGTTGGTTAGTTCTGCATCAGGGGAGCGGCTGGGGAAGAGGACATTAAACAAAAATCCTTGGACCAGCTTCCACTAACCATTACCAAGGCAAGTCTACATGTGGCCTGCCCTGATACATGCATACAGCCTCCACACTGAGAATAACACAAGAAAGGCTTCTCATGTGAATTTGAACTTTCCATGCTCTGTTTTAAAACAACAACCCCATTTCTGGTTCAGCTGTCGTGTGTGTGTGTGTGTGTGTGTGTGTGTGTGTGTGTGTGTGTGTGTGTGTGAGAGAGAGAGAGAGAGAGAGAGAGAGAGAGAGAGAGAGAGATGCAGTCAGTCTTTGGGGGCAGGAGAAAGCATGAGATTGGCAGGTGAAGACAGAGGTGACATTCTCCACACAGAGCAGGCTTTGTCCTCTGGTGTGGTGCAGGGAAGGGTTAAGGTAAGAGCCACTGGCTGCCTGCCACTCTCATCTCTCTGGCCAGGAGGACAACCACTGAGAGCCCTGCTGATTGCACAGACACAAGCAGCTGCTGTCCTGAGATTTCCCTCCCTAGGCTCAGCAACCTGTTTGATCCCAAGGAGTTGATGTAGCTCTATGGCTGTCTCCATGTAAGGACAGTCCCTGACCTTCAGGACCTGTGCCAGTGCATCATCATCAGCTCCTTTCCTGTATGTGGAAAGAAGGGACACACTAGACTTAGCAAGTGGCTGTGCCAGGGTTTAAGCCAGATAGCCTGACCCCAGAGCATGTGCCTCTCCTTTGCTGCTCCTTTCAAGATCTCCTAAATCCAGGATCATGTCTGTAGAAGTACCATGTGGTATCTCTATGCACACTTTGTAAATTTCAGCTTTAACATTCATGAAGAATTCCCAGACCATCTCTGGCATCCGATGGATCACTGATCCTTGCTCCAGCTCTACATCTGACACTTGACTCCAAAAGCATAAGGTTAGTCTTAGCTATGAACCCAGAGGGGTACTTCTTAAAGCAAATGCAAAATGTTTAGCCGCTACAGGATCAAGAGGCTCATGCACCCCCTCACTATAACACCTTAGTGGCACATCCCACCAGAGCCTTGGCTGAAGCCTGACCTATCCTCTGCCATTGTTGTGTTCTGTCTCTGTGCCTTGCACATACCCTTCTGACACAATTCTGTGCATCCCAGACTGACCTGGCTCTGTCTCCTCTCTCTCCTCCCCTCAGCCCCTGTTCCCTTCCCGGGATCTAGCCTCTTCCTGTCTAGATTGTACCTTGGGTTCAAGCATCCTTCTTCCAAGTTCCTCTTCTCTGCTTAGTCTTTGCTGAGCCCAGGAACCAAAGCAGCTGATAGCTTTTCAGCAAGCATGCTGAGCACTTGGAAAACAGCTCAGGTGCAGACCTGGTGACTGATGTGGGCTCCCATATAGATGGGCCCTTGATGTGGAGCAGTGCAAGAGTTGTGGTGGTTTGAATGAGAAATGTCTCCCAGGCTCACTTTGAACAGTTGGCCCCCAGTTGGTGGTGCTGTTTGCAGAGGCATGAGGGGTGGTCTTGCTGGAGGAATTATGTTACTGGGGTTGAGCTTTGGGAGTTCATAGCCTAGTCCCACTTCCAATTTCTCTCCCCCCTTCCTGTTTGCCATTGGAGATGTGAGTGCTCAGCTTTTGGCTCCTGTCACTATACTTGCCACTTACTGCCATACCTCCTGCCATGATGGATTCTTATCTCTCTGGAATGATCAGTCCAAATAAACTCTGCCTTCTATATGTTGCCTTGGCCATGATGCTTTATGACAGCAACAGAAAAATAACTAATACAGAGGTATACACACAACAGGGAATGCTCAGTACCAACTGGCCTTCCTGGGCATGGGACTGGTGTCCCTCATGGCCCTCTGCCTGTACTGTCACCCAGGACCTTCTGCCTATGTCTCTGAGTCACAGCTGTATACATCATCATAAACTATGAGCAGCAAAGACCCTCACCGTTCCATCTTCTAGGAGGAGTTGGAGGACGTGGTCACCAACTTTGTAGTCCTTTGCAATTTCAGCTGACTTCCAGACTTCTTCAGAATCAGGAATCCAAACCCTGTTGTACTGACCACACAACATGGCAGGTTTAATATTAGCATTTGAAAACCCCAAATTCAGATCATTAGATTCCTGACTCAGCAAGACTCCCTTTTGTTACCTGGGCCAGTTCCCACATTAAGAAGATGTACAGGCTGAGGATAACTCAGCTGGTAAAGTGCCTGCTACGCAAGCATGAGTACCTGAGTTCAATCCCCAGCACCCATGTAAGAAAGAAACAGGCATGGTGCTTACACTCCCTGTAGTGCCTGGGGCTGGCTGGCCAGCCAGCCTAGCCAACTAGTGAGTTTCAGATTCCAGGTCCTGACTGAAAGAACAAGGTGGAAGGTATCTGCTGAGGAGGAACAGCACCAAGATTGACCTCTGGCCTCCATATGCACACACACATGTAGGTATAGTTGCACACATAAGAACACACATACACAGAGAATGCAGATCCTGTAGCAGCGTCCAGCTTTTGTGTCTTCATGACAGTAAACCACTCTAGTGTATCAGGGCCTTATGCTTTCTAAACAACGGTCCCCAAGTCCCAACTCTGAATCAGACACGTCCTGAGTTCTGAGACAAACAGAAATTACTGCTGCCCTTTATGAATCTTTGTTTCTTCCCAGCCCAGTGGGCAAATACTGGCCCTGACCCTGGCCAGATCTTGACCACAGGAAATGTTCCTTTGGATGAAGAGATTACAACTGTAACACATTCAAGATTTTCACTTACAAAACATATTCATGGGCCGGCAAGGGGTGGGATGGCTCAGTGGTCAAGAACACTTGCTGTTCTTGCAGAGGATCCAGGTTTGGTTCCCAACATCCATAATGGGCATCTCACAACCTCCTACACCTTCAGTTCTAGGGGATATGTCACCCTCTCTGGCCTCCACAGGCACCTTCATGCATGTGGTGCATGTACATACAAACATACATATAAACACAAATATATATAAACATTTAAAATAAAAACAAATTGTTGACAATCAAATGATATGACGGGGTCATTTTGCAGCTGTGTAGCTCAGGCTTAGCTGTCCTCAGACTTCTGGAGAGTCTATAATACCCACCTCATGTCTCCCTGTAGGGGTGCACCAAGATTAAATGCTTGTGTTTCTGTGTTTGGCTTTTATGTGGGGTCTGGAGATCCCAACCAGGTTGTTAGGCTTATATGGCAAATGCTTTTACTCACTGAGCCATGTCCTCAGTCTAAACACCTAGATCAGGTGTACCTGACAAAAGTACTAAACAATTTTCAAAAGCTGGACAATGGAGAGTTGATATTTGTACATTTTACTATCTGTAACTTTTATACGAACATGGAAGTAGTAAGACACCCAGCAAAGTATATAGAGGGTGTGTTGAGACTTGCCATTCATTCTAACGTGCTTTAAGAAACTGCATGGATATTCAAACTGGATAGAAGGGTAGAAGCACAGATGGTAGGTAGATAGATTTGTCAAAAGACAAACAGGAAAAAGATATTCATACTGGAATGGAGGTGGGGCAAAGAGGCTCACCATAGAGTTCCTTGAACTTGGCTTGAGTTTAAGATTCTCAAGATATGGTTGGAGGCAAATAACAAGAAAAAAAGTCCAGGACACCAGCACAAAAGAATGATGGTGCTGGATAAAGGTGTATCTATTACTTAATATAAATTGTCTTAACAGTCATTGGTTAAATATCAATCATGACTAACATAGGTTATTTAACCCTTGACAGCTAGTAAAGACTGAAAACATGACATAGGATAAATGAAGCTTTGAGTGAAGGAGAGAGAGAAAAGGAGAGAGAGGGAAGAAGGGAGGGAAGGAGGGAAGGAGAGAGGAAGGGAAGGAGGGAGGGAAGGAGAGAGGGAAGGAGGGAGGGAAGGAGGGAGGGGAAGAGAGAAGGGAGAGAGAGACAGAGAGACAGAGACAGAGAACAAGAACCAAAGATTACCCAGCAGGCAATGACACAGCCCTGTGCAGAGCCTGGATGGAGCCTCACACACAAAGACACACCTCTTAGACATACCCACACCCACCACTCCCACACATACATATCCTTGTTGCCATGGCTACTAATTTCCTACCTCATGTCTGTTATTGGAATGTTTATTGATAACCTCTGAATCACAAATTATTAAAAGGCAATATCCCAACTTATCAAGAACTGGCCATGCATATCAGAGCTAAAAAGATCCTTGGAGTGATCTACTCCAAGTTGTTGGTCAAGGTTTTGAGAGAGGCAGTAAGCTTACTTCAGATGTTGCATGGAGCAGGAGAAAGTGGAGGTGTTCAGATGGGAGCCCAGCTGGAGGCTGAGGTCCCTTCGATCATGCCATGGGAGTCCAGGGCTCTGAGAGTTATGGTGAAATTGCTGAACGAGCCAGTCTCTCATTTTACTGATGCTTCTGCTCAAGCTCAGAGAGGGCAAGAGCCACCCCCCCCCCCAAGTACCTAGATTCTCTAGAGAGAATCTTAAAGAATCAGGGCACCTTATGCCTGTGATTACTGCCTTGAACTCGTATAGTGAGTGTGGCTCTGAGGTGATCCTGCCTAGCTATCTGCCTGACAGCCTAACGTTTTCCTATGGAGTTTTGTTTCAGCTAACAGCAGTACTCAGTGATAGGCAGTGTCACAACACATGTGACGACTATCCTCGTCTTTCCTACACCCCAGTGTCCCAGCCAGCCACCCTGGCTGTTCCTCATGTCCCCGTCCATATGCTGCCTGGCATCTAGAGCCCTGAAGCTGAAACCTAGCCTGCTAAGCAAACACCACAATGTTTACCCAGCTCCATGGACGTTCCACTGTCCCTCCTTCCTCACATTCCTCTAGCCACAAGGCAATGCTTCAAACCAGAGTGAGAGCTAACTGTAGCATTTAGACAAATACACACAGGCCATGAAAACAAGGACCAGCCCTAACATGACCCCTGTGTGCTTCTGTCCTGTGAGGCAGGATCCTCCACACTGGAATAAGCAGCCAAGCCTGCTGTGGGACCAAGAGGTTGCCTCCCTGACTTTGCTGGGCTTCTTCTCCGAGGGAGCTGGGGGATGAGGCAGAGCTCGGACCACAAAAACCAAGGAAGCAATATGGGATGGAAAACACGCCCAATCTTCCCACTCTACATGCACAGGTGAGCTGTGGCCCACCAGCTTGAGGGGTCTTCCAGCATTCACTGCAGGGCCTGAAGGCTGATAGGGAATGTGGAATGACAGGACCTTCCTCCTGCCCGAACTTTCTGGACTGAGCATCTCCACAATCAGGGCATCTCACCCAGATGGGGACATCATGTCTCTTTTTTTTTCTTCTTCCTCCCTAGGACCTCTGTCTCCTCATGACAAGCTGTTTTTGGAGTGTTCCATCCACTTTCTCAAGTGCTCCAGCACCCGCATCTTCGAGACCACTGTGCAGCTCTCACAATGGAATGCTAGATAGCATCTCCAGTGCCTTCCAGACACAAGTCCTCAACATTCTTAGAGATTCACAGAGCCCACATGGTGACACGCTCTCAGTACTCTTGCTCCTCAGTAGGAACCCATCACAGCACCAGCTCTCCATCTGTGTCTCTGTCCCTACCAAGTGGTCACCATGTGCTGTGGCAGAGCTCTCAAATAGTCCACCAACCACAGCTACAGCCAGCCAGCCCTTCTCAGCAGCATCCATCAGCAGCTGGGTACAGACAGACACCCTTCCCTGCACCAGTCAGTAGCTATGGTGTGGTCTGGTCCAAGCAGAGTTGAAAGTTGCCCCCAAAATTCTTCTGTTCTTCCTATCCCCAATCCCACCCATCCACCCCTCCCCCTATGAGCAGGCAATCACCCAGAGAGACTCTCAGCTGTGGCCTCTTAAGAGCCCTGAGCCTTCCCAGGGATCTCCCACCTCCTCCATCAGCACCTGAGTGTCAAGAGCCCTGCCTTTGTGCCCTGGGACCCAACAGCAGTGTTAACACTCCACAAACACCGGTTTAATAGAACTTCAAATGCCCACTGGTTCCACTGCACCAGTGAAAACTAAACTCATTTTGGCTTCTTTAACCCTTTCCTGTTTTTAACCTTTTTGAACTACACACGGATAAGCCAATAGGCGAATCTAATTTTCTAGACTGAATGAAGATGGAAAGGCTATTTGAACAGTCAATGGGAGCATTGTTAAAGTGAGCATTGACCTTATTTTAGACAGAGAACCTTGAGGTTCTTCTCTTGATCTTGGGCCCTGGGTTTGGCCAACCTCCTTTGAATACCTGCACCTACAGCCACAGCACCCCGTTACTCCCAATCTCAGCTGTGAGTTCTTTATACACAAGCAAAGCACACTAGCACTGCTCAAAACCAAACACATAGGAGGTTGGAGCCCACAGGCCCATGTTGGTGAGCACACGGGTCCCTTTCTCACATCTGCACACTGTGGTCCTCCCTGGTCCCTCCCCTCAGTCTGAGGCCATGTCAGGGCTCCCTTCTCCCTAGAGCTCTACTGAAAGGGAAGAAGCACCATGGTCCTGCAAGAGTTGGCATCTAAACAGCTTCCGTGATGCCCGCTGCAGGCAGCAGAACTAACAAGGGGTCTTTAGTCTCATTTATGTACTTTTGTGTTTAGGATCACAGCACATATGGTTTCTACACTTTCGTTTTTCACACTCTTGTGCATTTCCTGTGCTGCTGTCAGGTTCCGAGGCAGCATTTTAATAGCTCCCTAATGTTCTGTCAGCTGGGGCCTTGTGACTTGCTTATCTCTACCTCTCTTGCTGGACATTGGGGATGGCTCCATTCTAGTTATTAGAGGAATTGTATCACAAATAAGTAGGTGCAGGGAGGTATCTAGGAAGCAGATGATTTCCTATGAGTCCTCTGTGTGGGGAAAAGTTCAAATTCCTTGAAGAGGAGGAAGATGATAAAGGTGTGGGGCCCAGGTGGAGGCTGTGAGAGGGATTATGAATCAGCCTCTGTCATGTTTCTATAAGCTTAGGCAATTTCCTCGACCTGAGCTATTTATAGAATGGAATATCGACATTTAACACACAGAGCTATTTCAGGTTGAGGGGTTCTGAGGACGGCATCTGGTATATAGGAAGACTCAACTTTATCATGTTCAAGATAAAAAATAACCGATATCGAAGGCACAATCTTCACGTCCACAGCTGTTACTGTGAACGGAACCATCCATCCCTGGGTGTGTGTGCACAGCTAGCATTTAAAGAGCTGTCACTGCTCACGTCTTTACTGATCAGCAGAGGAGACAAGTTTTGTGGAGCGCACTGGAAGGAGGCTGGCTGCAGGCTTCTAAGGAGGCCTGTTCAGATGGAATCTGAAAGGTGGCTGTTCCTGAACAAAGCAGTGTTCTGAGCCAGTATGACCATGCAGGCCAGTTGTGCAGGCCAGACAAGACACGTGGCAGGCACCAGCCAGCAAGGGAGGCTGATGCAGTAGCAGGACCCTGTGTCTGGATGGGGATCTGAAAGGGCCAGGAGTCTCCAGAGGGCTTTAAGAAGGGAATGGTCAGACCCGCTTTTTTCAGATTTCAAGCAGTGGGACTGCTTCTTGGAACACTTCTAAGGCTACAGCTGGCTTTTAAAGAGAGGTGGATTGGTTTACACATCCACCTGCAGCAGCTGCACCTGCACCACAGCCTCTCTGGGGAGTTCCCTCTGGGAGCCTCTCTTTCTGGGACTGCCCAACCCTCCCACTTCCTTCTCTGGCTTCTCCTGTGTACTGCTGCCCTAAGCTGGATTCTCCTAGGTGCTCCTGTATGGTTTCACTCCAGTAGAGAACACCACAAAGCTGGCTGAGCCCATTCTCTAAAGCCACTTAGACTATTAGACTATTTCCCCCAGCCCCCTTCAGGGACCTCCCCTGAAAGTCCTCTCGGGGCTTCAACACCCATGCTGGCAGGAAATGAGCTTCGAGAACTCCCTCAAAAGCACTTTCTCCCCTGGGTGGCTCTAAGGCCACCTAGTTCTCAATCACAGACTCCAGCGTCTATGTCATCCTGGGTGTGTCCTGTGTCTGCACACTCCCAGGCCAGTGTCTCCTTGTCTGTCTTCACCGACCATTTCCATGACTGCAGCTTTAATTCCGTCCTGGCTGGCTGGGATCCTAGCAGTGCAGTTAACCCGCCCCAGCACAGTCTCAGCTCACCTAGCCCAATCCTGCCAACCCCACTCAAAGCCCCCCGCCTTGCAGCATGATCCTTCTGCCTCAGCTCTGTGCCCCCCTCAGCAAACATCTGCTTGACATTTCTTCTCAGAATCAGAAAATGGCTTCCACAAGCAAAAGAACAACCTAGGAAAACAAAACAAAACACCTTTCTCTGCACCCATAAGCACAGTTCTATCTGCAGATAAATCTGGACCCCTCCAAATTCCAGCAAATGAAACTAGAATCCATCCATTTCTTCCACAATGTCCTAGCTTATTTATTTTGAGACAAGGTCTTGTTATGTAGCCCTAGCTTCCTGGAACTTCCTATGAAGGCCAAGCTGGCCTCAAGCTCAAGGCAATTCTCCTGCTTCTGCCTTCTGAGTGCTGAGATTATACTCACTTGAAGATAGGGGTAAATATACCTGTGCTTTTTTTTTTTTTTTTTTTTTTTTTTTTTTTTTTTTAGGGTCTTCCTGTAGCCCCAGCACGCCTGGAACTCACTATGTAGACCAGGCTGGCCTTGAACTCACAGAGATCTGCCTGCCTCTGCCTCCTGAGTGCAGGGATTAAAGGCATGCAGCACCATGCCCAGATACACCTGTGTATTTTTGTTTCAGGAAAAATTGTTATTTAAGACAGGTAAATGATGCAAAGATAGCTAATCCACTAAGGATGGGTTTGTTCAAGAATGTTCTTTTACTGCTAGTAATGTAAAGACTGAGAAGCTCTGTTGGAGACCTGCTGGATCACACCACCACTGGCAAAACATTTTAGAGCACGAGAACAATTCAAAAATGATTTAGGGGTTGGGCAGTTTAGCTCAGCAGCAGAGTGCTTGCCTAGCAAGTGCAAGGTCCCAGGTTCTATCCCCAGCTTGGAGTGGGGGAGGGAGAACACAAAAATGACCTTGAACTCTAGTTAATGGTTTAAATGCACCAGAGACGAGCATCCTGTTTTGTTTGATTTGCACTTGTAATGCTTCTTATTAAAGTAGAAGAAAAGTTTTTGAATGGAAAGATATTCAGTGGAAATTATTCAGTGGAAAGAGAACTATTACAATGATCTTTTACTTATCAATAGTGAGAGTGACTTTTAAAAACTAAGCTAGAGGGGCTGGAGAGATGGTTCAGCTGTTAAGAACACTGGCTGTTCTTGCAGAGGACCTGGGTTCAGTTCCCAGCACCCATGTGGCAGCTAACAACCATCTGTAACTCCAGTTCCAGGGGCTCTGTTGCCCTCTTCTGGCCTCCATGGGCATTGCATGCACTGGTGGACAACATGCATGCAAGCAAAACACCCATATACATAAAATAAAAACAAAGAGATAAAATGAAGCCAGAAAGATGGCTGTGCTCGGGCATGCCTGTAATCCCTGTACTGGGGAGGCTGAGGCAAGAAGGTCCACAAGAGTTTGAAGCCAGCCTAGCCTAGGCTACGTAGGTAGTACCAGGCCAGTCAGGGATACATAGCAAGACTCTGCTTTAAAAAAAAAAAAAAAAAAAAAAAAAAAAAACCAGCAGGAGCCAGGCGTGGTGGCACATGCCTTTAATCCCAGCACTTGGGAGGCAGAGGCAGGCGGATCTCTGTGAGTTCAAGGCCAGCTTGGTCTACATAGTGAGTTCCGGGACAGCTGGGGCTACAGGGACAGCTGGGGCTACAGGGAGACCCTGTTTCAAAAAGACCAAAAAACCGAAAAAAAACAAAACAAAAAAATCCAGCAGGGCAGGGTGGTATGCCCTGTTAATTTCAGTGCAGAGGCAGGCAGGCAGATCTTTTAGAGTTTGAGACCAGCCTGGTCTACTAGCAAGTTTGAAGCCAGCCTGGTCTACACAGCAAGTTCCAGTACAGTCAGAGCTACATAGAGAGACCCTGTCTCAAAACAACAACAACGGGAAAACAACAACAACAACAACAACAACAACAAAAACAAAGTGACAACATACACAGAAATCAAGATAGGACATATATGTGGGAAAATGGATGGATTCCAGTCCCATCTGTCTGAATAATTTGAAGGGGTCTAACTTTACACCACTGCATGTAGGAAATTTCCCCCCCTTTTTTTTTCAAAAGCGCCAATATTTTCACATACATTATCCAAATAACCCCCCAGGCCCAGTGCCTCGGTTTCTGGGACCCTGCTGTCCTGGGTGAGGTAGTGCCCTCAGTCCCTGGACGTTTCCCCAGAGTACTCTGGAGCAGTTCCCAGGGCCAGGCCTGTCAGAGGTGCTCTCTGCACCCTACAAATGCCAGTGAACACCTCAGTGGTACCTGGATCAGGACCCTGGTTACAGGTGGACCGACGGGCTTCTCTTTGATCCCCTGAGTAACTAAGCACACACGCTGGAGTCCTCAGGGGCTCCAGCGGCTCTGGAAAGTTACAGAAGCTAGTGCCCCTGATCCGCTGATCCGAGGTTGCCTGCCCAGTGCGAGACTCCGATTCCACCGTGGCGAGAGGGAGGGGCCGAAGGGTCCCACTGGGGTGTCCCCCCCATCCCAGGCCCCATTCCCACGGCGCTTACAGTTGTTCCCCCGCCTCCGCCCGCCCCGACCCGCACAGGTGAACATGTGCATCCCGGCACCCATACCCTCGCGTAGAGCTCGGCCACCGCCATGGGCAACCCCGGCCGCTGGGCTCTCCTTAGCAGTGGTCCGTGCGCACCCTGCAAGTCAGCGCAGGGCCATCTTGACCAGAAGTTTTCTAGACTGCAGCCGCTCCCTTTCCCAGGGGCTCCTGGCGCGGGGCGGGGAGCGGCTATGGGATTGGTGCTGGCGGGCGGACCGGTGCTGCCATTGGCCCGGGCCGGGAACAGGTGAACTCTCCAGGCTCTGGCCGAAGTTTCTGCTTCCTTACCACAAGGAGCAGACATAACCAATGCAAGAATCAGAAAACGAACAGAACTTTTAAGTTAAGGAAGGGGCCAAATTCAAAATCAAATACAAAATGGGTGGTTGTCCTTTTGTGAACGTTTTATATGCAATAGAAAATAAGATACAAGATCAGGGGAAATATACCCAGAAATTACACTACTAAAAAGCGTCTTTTGTGGAGAGCATGATTCTACTTCTCTTAGCACAAAATACCTGAATAAATAGAGACACATCGTTTGAATAGGTGGGACCATTTAACATTCTACCCAATTTAATATATAAACTCAATATACGGCACTAAAAATCCTGGCAGAACTTTTATACAATGATTTTTATATTTATATGGGATGAAAGTCCATGTGTAGCCAAGAAAATTCTCATAAAGATCAAAGAAGAAAGAGACCACAGCCTTCCTTTCTCTGAAGCAACTTCTCCTCCCCTTTGGGACAAGGTCTCCCACTGGGACCTGGGGCTCATGGATTGCACTGGCTGGCCAGAAGGTCCTAGGCATCCTCCTGTTCCTGTCACCTAGCTCTGGGATTATAGCATCACCACACCTGGCTTTTAATTTATTTTTTATTTATTTACTTATCTATTTATTTTGAAACAGGGTCTCCTTGTAGTCCCAGTTGGCCTGGAACTCACTATGTAGACTAGGCTGGCCTTGATCTCACAGAGATCCACCTGCCTCTGTCTCCAGTGTGCTGGAAGTAAAGGTGTGCACCACTATGCACCAAACACCTGGCTTTTCAAATGTGGGTTCTGGGTATTGAACTCAGGTCCTCCGGCTTATGAGGCAAACACTTTATGGACTGAGCTGTCTCCCCAGACCTGCCCTACCATAAGCTGAAGGATATAACAAAGCTATAGTCATTAAAACTGTGTGTTGCTCACCTGAGGATGGACATGTAAACAGTGGAGCCAAATGCAGTTCATCCACAGAGCCCCAAGTTATGTGGTAGTCTGGAAGACTAGGTGGAAAAGAAGATATTATTTAATAGATGGGTCCATTATGTAGAAAAACAACAAAAACAGACCCATGGCAAGCACTGAGTCAAAACACAACATATGGATTTGGGGTTAGAAATGATAAATAACCAAATGTGGTGGCACACACATTCCCAGAACTCATGTGGTGGAAAGAAGGAACCAATACCCGCAAGTTGTCCTCTGACTTCCACATGGGCATCATGGCACATGTGTACATGTACACATACACATATATGCACTAATACTAAATAAAATAAAAAAATTCAAGAACAGCTCAGTTTAAAACTAGTATTTAAAAAGCCTTATTTCTTAAATAAAACTTCTGTTGTTCTGACAAGAATTAACTGTACACGCTCTACAGAGTGAGACTGTTTCTCAAAACAAATAAACAAATAAATGGAAGACTCTAAGTAAAAAGAATTAGAAGAATCATGAGGGCCATGTATGGTGGCTCACATCTGTAATCCTAGCACTTGGGAGGCTGAGGCAGGAGGATCACAAGTTCTACTGTATTCTATTTGTTGGTCTTTGTTCATTTTTTAAAAAATCTTTTATTAGCATTGCTTTCTTTTAAAAATATAACATGACTACATTGAAAAACTTGTATAGGTTGGAGAATTTGGAAAAGGAGTGAATGGCAAACTCACATTACAGCAACAGTGATAAATTTCACAGTATTGTTGAAGTTTGGTAGTACAGTTTTGTCAATAAATAATACCTCAACATTATAGTAGGCATATAGAATTGCAAATTTACATTCTTAAATAAAATTACATATTTTTAGTTTGAGAATTATATTAGTTTAGTTATCATAGTACTTTTTTTTAGCTTCCCAGATTGTGAATTTTAATCTCTAGAAGTCAATTAGGTGTTCTACATTTTCTGTAGGGCATAAGTAAAGGCACACTGGGGCTGTAGAAGAGTAATAGAAAAAGAATAGAAAACCTCTTGGTGCCTGGTAATGGGAGAGGTCCAACAGCAAGGCCTGGATGCCCCACATGTGGAATCAAGACCACACCTGACCCTCAGGGGAGATGGGGAACCCATTCTGGAGAATGAGAGCCTCCCAAGACCAGAGTCTGCAAATGATGGGGAGATCTCCCCTGTCCCCAGCATAAGTCCAACACAGAGGCAAAGCCCCTGCCATGCACAACTTGGGACCTAAGGGGAAGGAGCTGTGGGAAATGCAGCCACTCAGAGAAGGCTGAAACGGCTGTCCAATATTGGGAAGTCCTCTGTTTTCCAATTTGTTCCATCATCGGATTACCACCAGCTTGTTCCTTTCTGTGCGCCCCACTTTCTGCCATTTGTGGGTCTAATGGGAACATTTTACATATATGTTAATTTTACATCACACAACAAATATCCAGGAGAAACTATTTATTTATTTATTTATTACTTCCTTTTCTTTCTTTCTTTCTTTCTTTCTTTCTTTCTTTCTTTCTTTCTTTCTTTCTTTTTCTTGGTCTTTTTGAGACAGCATCTCCTTGTAGCCCCAGCTGGCCTGGCACTCGCTTTGTAGACCAGGCTGGCCTTAAACTCTCAGAGATCCGTCTGCCTCTGCCTCCTGAGTGCTGGGATTAAAGGTTTGTGCCACCACACCCAGCTTATTATTTATTTTATGTGTATGAGTTACTTGCCTGCATGAAAGTGCATCTATGTGTGCAGTTCCCCTGGAGGACAGAAGAGGGTGTCTGATTCCCCGGAACTGGCAATTGTAAGCTGCCATGTGGGTGCTGGGGACTGAACCTGAGTCCTCTGCAAGAGCAGCCAGTGCTCTTAACTGCTGAGCTATCTCTCCAGCTTGGAGAAAAAATTTAAAAAAGAAGAAGAAATCATTCTGGCTCATGGTTTTAGAGGTTTTAGTCCATGGTTGGCTGGCTCTGTTGCCTGAGGTGAGGCTGAACATCTCATGGTGGCAGGAACACATGCTGGAGCAAGCAGCTCACCTCAGCATGGGCAGGATGCAGAGAGAAAGGGTACAGGTATAACCTTCCAGAGCCAACCTTGCAAGGCACATCCCTGTTATCTCTTTCCTTTAGCTCACTAAACAGCTGGGACCAAGCCTTTAACACATGGGATGATGGCCACTAAATGAGGCAGACACTTCCAGAGACCAACTCCTGAATTAATGCACCTACAAAGTGTCCTTTATTTTCACCTGAAACTTTGTGATTGAAACTGAGCATGCTCAGAGGCACCTAGGCACTTCGGAACTTTCAACATTGCAACAGTGTTGCCATTTCTCTAAAAGAAAGTTCATGCTGGAGAACTGCACAATTTATTTCATTTAAAGCAAGCAAGCAAGCAAACAAACAAAAAACCTCATAATGTTTTGATTGTGTTGGACTGCATGTATAATCCTCCTGGGCCAGAAGTGGGCTACAGGTTGGACAGGCCTGCTTGGAATCTTCTAAACGTGTGCTCCATGAGCTTAAACTAAGCATTCTCAGGAGTGTATTCTTTAACTGAGCAAGCTTAGTGTATTAGATTACTTTTCTGTGGCTGTGAAAAAAACCATAACCAAAAGAAACTTAGGGAGAAAGGGTTTATTTGGCTTCTACTTCCAGGGCATGATCAATCACTGAGGGAAGTCAGGGCAAGAAACTGAGGCAGGAACCAGGGAGGAAGGAAGATTGCTTACTGGCTTCCTCTCTGACTCATGCCCAGCTAGCTTTCCTAAACAGTCCCAGGGATGGGATGGGCCCTCCCACATCAATCAACAAGACAATCTCTCACAGACATAGCCATAGGCCATGGGAAATGCCTCAGTTGAGGCTCCTAGCTCTCAGGTAACTCTAGGTTGTGTCAAGTTGACAATAAAAAGTAACCAGCACATAAAATACAAATTTTAAAAATTATTTTAAAAGGGCTGGAGAAATGGCTTAGTGTTAAAGAGCAGGTGTAGCTCTTCTAGAGGACATGGGTTTAGTTCCCAGCACCCATATGGCAGCTAACACCCATCCTTAACTCCAGTTCCAGGGAATCCTATACCCTCTTCTGGCCTCCTTGGGCACTGCACACATATGGCACACTTACAAACATGCAGGGAAAAGAGCCATGCACATAAAGAACAAAACAAAACAAAACTCCAAAAAGCTCCAACTAAGTAGCATACTTTGGGATGGGCCCATTCCTATATGAATATGTATAGGCTACCTGAATAAAGCCCCCACATTTCCTTTATTGGAGAAGGCATTGCTTTGGAAGTGAGTTACATGTTCTCCTTGTCTGGGCCAGGTAACAAATCTGCTGTCACCCTTTATGTGTGACTGCTTCATGCTCACTGAGGTGCCGACCCATTGTGCTGAGTTACAGAGCCCCTGGGGGAAACACCACAAGACATGAACGTGTTCATGGTTTGTTCAAATCTTGTGTATGTTTGTGTTGGAATCACAATATATTTAAAAGATCAGTGTGGTTTTATGTGTATGAGTGTTTGCCTGCATGTATGTAAGTGCACCACGTGTGTAATACCTGTGGAAGCCAGAAGAGGGTGTAGCATTTTCTGGAACTGGAGTTGCAGACAGTTGTGAGCTGCCATGTAGGTGCTGGAAACTGAACCCAGGTTCTTTTAAGAACCAGTGTTCTTAACTGCTGAGCCAGCTCTCCAGCCCCAAATCTAAATATTTTTGAGGAAATACTGTAGAAGCTTTGGGTCCTAGTCTTTCTTATTGTCAATGAACTGGACTTATTAATTTTCAGTGCCCAGATGGATTATTTCAATGACACCTGTTCTGTCTGCTTCCCCCCTCCACATACTCTGGAGCCTCTCATGTGGCCCCTAAGGATTGTAGCCTGCCTGTGCCC